TAGCCAAAATGTAAAGCTGGGTGCAGGGGTGAACGGAACTTGAGGCAGGGATTTATGAGACTGGCAGTGACTGGTGGTAGACAAGGAACCCAATCCAGTAAACAAGGCCCCTGGTGCTTACACTTTGGACCGTGGGATACAAACAGAAATGAAGTGACGACAAGTTAAAAACCATATTGATCCCTTTACTATTATGATTTCTTGTTTTGGTCACTTTACATTTCGTTTAGCTTGATTCGTCCCTTGCCCCCTTTACTACTACTTTGTCCACAGAGAGAGAGAGCAATTCCACTACGAAGCTGGTGATGCATCGGAATGGTGAATATGCATCTACAATGCAATTAGATATATGAAGGATGCTTTTCCGTTCAAGGTGAAGGTGGAGATAAAATAAAAATATTTGATGAATTTGGTATAAAATATCCTATGATTTATTAAACTTGAATATCCATATATAAAATAAACTTTGATCTAAAGCCCGCTTCTTACAGGATGGAAGATCATCTCTGGAAGCCATGGAGTTGGATATAATGGTTTGGATGAGCTCGCAATTATCTGTTTGTTCGGAAAATTTAATAAATCATGACAGAAGTAAATTTACCTATATCTAATTTCTAAAAAATAATAATCTCAATCTTGAATAAACAAACATTGGAAGAAGCACTTTACATTGATCACTATTAAAAGGTAAAATGATAGTCTCGTAGAGGCAAAGATACCCGCATCTGATCAATTATCAAAACATTATTTTCAAATTCGTGTCCTTTTTCTCTTATTTTAATCCAAGTATGGCATAAGATTTAATTTATTGAACAAGAGGAAATTAAGAATTCAAAAAAATATATGGAAAAACGTGTCGTTGAATTGTAAATTAAGAGGAGGAATGAAGAAGACGAAGAAAGGATCGGTTATTTTTTACATGTATATCGTTATAATTTTGAAAAATTTTATATAATTAATATCATTAAGTGAACATTTAATATGATTTTAAGGGGAAAAAAAGTATAAATTCATCGTTCTTACTTCAATAAATTTAATCTAATAAAAGGGATTCGAAAGTTTTTCAAAACTCAAGGGAAATACTCAAACAATAAAGGGTAAAAGAAAAGGCAAGAACAAAAGGGGCTGAGGTGGGCTGACTCGCGTAGCAGGCTTGCACTCATAAGCTTCAATAGGGTTGGGTCAGGTGTTTCAAGCTCGGCCTCAAGAGCAGATGAAAAAAAGGCATTCCATGCCTCACGACGCGTCTTGTTTGTCTTTTTCACCGATGAGTTTCCATTATTTGAAAAGCCAAGCCAGCCACAAGTCGTCAGATTTTTTACACCAAAAGTGGTTCTTGAAGCCTTTTCAGCTCGACACAACGCGATCATCCATGAGAATAGATCCATTTTTAATTTCAAGATTCAATTTTTCATGGATAGTATTTTTAAATGCATTAAGTCGTTTTATTTTTTATTTTTTATTTTTTGAATTATAAGTCTAGTAGTCAGATGTTTCATAGGCCACTTGTTGAGTTTTTATATCTCCTAAATATTTATATTCTTATTCTCATAGCATTTATAATACACAAGCAATAATAAATATTTTTATTTTTAAAATTTAAAATTTATTCTCTTATTCATGCTTTATTAAAAGTTACCATTTTCGGTCACTAAATTTAAAAAAAAAAAAAGGTGGGGGACTGTTATGCTGTAAATTATTAATGTAAAAAGTAACCTTAAAAAACAATGACTTGGCTGTCTGAAACTCTGAATTGAAGGACTTTATCATAAAAAAAAAAAAGAAGAAGAAGGAAAGAGGACAAGGAAAAGGAAGTAGTTATGGAAGATGGGAAGTTGCAAAAAATTGAAAACGCAACAAATAATTTTTTATGTTAAAATATATATTAATAATATTTTTTTATTTTTTAAAAATTATTTTTAATACCAATACATTAAAATAATTCAAAATATATTAAATTTTAATAAAAAAAATTTAAAATTTTAAAAAATATAATTTACATCAAATCTTCAAACGGTGCCTGACAAACAAATTCTATAGTAAATTGATTGTAAAAACGCAGTACAATCACGCACATGCAGCCCAGAAAAGGACTTCAGACGGTGTGGAACGCAATAATGCGTCATAAACTGTTAAAAAAGAAAAATTGTTGCATGAAAACCAAAAGCCAACTCTGCGCCGCTATTTCTCTTCAGCATGGTAACGGAGCTCCAAAGAGAAGCATCTCTCCTTCGTCACATGATGTCACACAGTGCCCTTCCTCAGTATTAATGGTATTAATTATAAATGTAAAGAAATTAATTGCAAATCCACCCACCTCCCTGATTTACTTTAGATTATGCTAGGAAAACTTAATTATATATATATATATATATATATATATATATATATATATTGAAAAGGGAAATGTTCAATAGAGAGGATAAAAGAGCAAGGTATTAGCGGGAATGAAAGGAAACCTAATAATAATTAATGCAGTGAATGAGTGCACTCAATGGGTTGATATAATTTTCGATTCTGAAACATTATACTTAATTGTATGAAATAGAAACTATGTGTGCTGTTAAAGAGTACTAGTATAAAATTATTACTGGATTCCATTTAATATTTTAAACTTTTAAGTTGAATTATTTTTTTTATATAATATCAGAATTTTATTAATTAAATAATCGCAAGCTCGAATCTCATCATTCATATTTTATTTAATAAAAATTAAATTAAAAATATTATAAGCTTGCATAAATTTTAAATTTATAAAAATTTTAATTGAAAAGAGTGTGTTAAAGAATTATATAAATTATAATTTAATATTTTAATAATTTAAATTATTAGATTATCTTGATGTTTTAATAATTTAAACTATTATATGAGAAGTTTTTTAATGTGCAAAAACCAATTTAACTTAAAAGTTTCAAATGTTAGATAAGGTTAGTAATATTATTTATATTATTTTTTAATATATTTTCTCAAGTAAAAATTAATGTTGCTTTATCTTTAATTTTTATTAAATAAATAGAAATGATGAGATTTGAATGCTTGATCATCAAGAGTTTGATAATACTATATCAAATAATCATTTCAAATAAAAAATTTAAAATTGTTAAATAAGATATTATAATATAATTTATATTATTTTTTAATATTTAATTAATAAAAAATATAAGACCTTAAATGATAGGATTAAGAATTTAATTGGCTAAATCCATTATTTATCATTTGCACCCCTTGTTTTCGTCAGTGTGTGCGTATATATATTTTGAGCACAACGTGTTTATAGGTGGAATGGATGACGGCATTGACAGGAGTAAAATAAAAGTCATAACAATGAATCAGACACATGCAGTGAAAACAAAAAACGGTGAGGTTATAAATTTATAATTTTAGATTAATTTAATGAAATAGAAAACATAAATGTAGTAGACGTTGACCAAATTGATAATATATTTATTTATTTTTACTATTTGATAAAAACACATGATACAAATTAACGATATATTTAATCAAAATTGATGTTCAGAAACCATAAACCAATTAACCATGCACGACATTATATATTCAAATAATGGTGACGAAGCTACAGAGAAGAAGCATCTCTCCTTCATCTCGTGTTGTAATGATATTACTCATATATGTTTTCTCTGAATCTATAAATTGTAAGAATTTTGAAACGAAAAATCAACCTATCCATCAACCTCCATGTTTACTCATTAAAAATACAAAGGCCTTCGCCTGGATTAGGGCAAGGCAGCAACACACTCGGGCAAAGTTACTCTATATGTTGTTTTATTGAATTGTTTCTCTATCATTTGCCATCTCGATCGAAACTCGTAAACTGAGATCCAATATCCTTGATTTGTGAGGCTTCCTTCAGAATAATGGCAGATGCTCGAGGAATCTTTCTTCTTGTTGCTGCTAAATACACAGACACGCATATTTGATAGTTTTTTGCTGACGCAAGAGAAATTGAAACAACGTTACTTGATCAACAGTACCGGCTCGCCATAGAACCTTCATGGACAATACATATTTGATAGGTTCTTGCTGGTGCTACAGAAATTGAAACAACGTAGCTAATTGATCAACCCCAGCTGGCCACAGAACCTTCATGACTTTTAGATTGAAAATAACTTTAAAAGCTATTTATTCTTCATTGTTTGCACTAGTTTTTTATAAAAAATTGTAGTAAAAAACTGAATTTTTTAAAATATATATTTTATAATTTTTTTAAACCTGATTTTTCCAAAAAAAGCTACCGCAGCTACAAACACAAACTAATTCATCACTGGTGTATTTCACAGCTCTCTGTTGTTTTTTTCCTTTCCTACTAAACTCCAAGGCATGGCACGAATGCGATCAAAGCATTCCACAATGATGACTGGGTTTTAGACGGGTCAGCTGTTCCCTTGTTGTCAATATAATCAGGCCAAAAAGATGTAAATTTTATAATAATAATAATAACGATATTAGTAACAACAACAAGAATAATAACCCATCATTTGTTAACGCATCAAAGAAGCCAATTTATGGCGGGATTTCCTTTGCTGAAACTTATAGCCGTGGGATTCTCCGCTTCTCAAAGAAATGACACCTTGAGCTGTATTATTTTCTTCTTGTGGCACCATGACATTACGTGTTTAGCCCTCAGTATGGCAAATTTCATTTTCCAGAAACATCGAAGCCTAGGGCTAACAAGTAACTTAGCAGTAGCTGATGAGGCCACAAAAATGGCCACACATATAAAATATATGGCAAAGTCCAGGCACATTACAGCAAGAACAAGAGCCAATTTCGCCCACTGTTTTCACCTATATGTATATATATGCTCACAGACATAACCTTCTCAAAACCAAATATCAACACACTTTGTGTGCTTCAAATTCCAACACCACCACCTGTCAAAGTGTCTATAGGAGGCAAAAAGCCTAAGTGCAAGACGAAGCTCAGCCCAAATGGCAGAACTTCCAATCAACCTATTGCCCGATGAAGCAAGTCCAGAATGGATGAACAAAGGAGACAACGCGTGGCAACTCACGGCGGCAACTCTTGTGGGTCTTCAAAGTGTACCAGGCCTTGTGATCCTTTATGGCAGTATCGTGAAAAAGAAATGGGCTGTGAACTCGGCATT